AGACTAATGCTTCATTTGAGAAGAGGAGAGAGATGCTTAATGGAATCTTTTAAAAATGACCTTAATCTTTTTAAAGCTTTCTGGTTGGGCATTAGCTTCAAAAGCTTCAAATACTGAAGAAATTCAAAACAAAACATTTTCTCTCTTAGCTAATTACCCTAATGGCAGATACTAGTTTTTATACAGTAAGACTTTATATTGTTTTTTCAATCAAAATAGACTCCACTTGTTCACCTTACCATTAAAATAATTTTAGACTTATGGTTCTCTAATAAAACTAATTCAGTAGTATACTTTATTCCATTGATATTCTTTCAAAGTGAATTTCAGTAAATAAAACTCCACTGATTTCTATTATAAAGTCATAGATACATTTCCATAGGTAACTGAATGGAATGTAAAACAAAGTAAATTACAGAAAAACTTTAAAAATTATATATTAAAGGGGGGAGGTTCTTACGCAGCTCATGTTAATATTAAATGTTATAAAATTTAAAACATAAATTGTTTGCCGAAATGTAAAATATACCAAATCGACATTCCTTTAGGGAATTTTCCTATTTTGTTCTCTGATTGTATAGTCATTTTGTTATACTAAAATGTTGCTTCAGCCTATCTCTAACCGTTCATAAATAAAGTCCTTTAAAACCTTTATTTCTGAAAGAAGATACTTTGCAAATATTTATTTAATGGCCCTGGTTAAAGGTTACTAGTCTTCAGTATGATAAATAATAGTTTATTTATGTTCTTTTATTTATTTATTTATTCATTCATTCATTCATTTATTTATTTATTTAAGAGAAATATAAAAGCTTTATTGTATATATAGAAAAGAGTTATTTAGTCTTTTGAAGGGTCTGCTGCCTCCCACATTTTCTCGGCGGTAGACTAAGACAGCCCACAGTCTCAGAAGAGTCTCTCTGCTGCCCCAGCCTCCGGCCCCAACTCTTGGGCATCAGGTAGGCCAGGGCCGCCCCTCACCGTGTTTCCTAGTCAGCCAAGAGGGCAGCACAGCTGGAAGGTTTTGAGCACCTTCCTCAGGGCCAGCAGGAGCAGGATGAGCAGCAGAGTGACACAGCTGAAGGCCAGTAGAGCCACCAGCAAGTCCTTCAGCCTCTAGCAGGCAGCTTTAAACCACAACCCCAGTGGCTTCTTCACCTTCAGTAGCCCTGAGACCACCATATAGATGTCCCTTTCCCTCTGGGAACTCATGTTAGCACCTTCTCTTTGTATGGAAACAGCTACAGTTGCAGCAGGGTGTCCTTTAAAAGACAATTTCACACACCTAATAATGTGCAGTTAGATTTTAAATTTCTCTTAAGTCAGAGTAGTTGTAGAGGATGCTCTCTCATTAGGATGCCATAAAACAATATGCTGACCCTTCAAACACACTATTATGAAATATTCTTCAGCTTTTAGGCCTTCAGTTAAACAGCTAGGGGAAAGGGGGAAGTTGTCTTTTAAGGTTAAGTATTTCTATAGATTTTATTTAGATTTCCAGTAGTGCATGCACAAAAGACCCATATATATATAGAGATTGTATCACATTCAAATTGGAGTATTTTAAGTGAAAGAAAAGGCTAGATGTACAATAGTGTATATATAGTATAAACAGTTGAAAAAAGGAAAAGAATATACATTTGTGTTTTATTTTGTATTAACTTAAAAAAATATTGTTGGAAGAAATCAGAAGAAACTGATTTCCAGTCGGAGGGCTGGGGAAGGACCTGGGCAAGTGAAGGGCAAGGGTGAGAGAAGGATTTTCAGTGTATTATTTTTTTCACTTAAATATATTTATTAGAATTTTGATATGGTAATTTTTAACAGCTTTATTGGAGTATAACAGGTATATAATAAACTATAGGTACTCATAGTATGTATTTTTATATATTTTTTGAGTCATGTGAATATATTACCTATTAAAAATGGAAAAGAAATTAATTAAAACTTTAAAAATTGACCAAGTAAATAGATAAATAGCAAAACAGGCCTGCCCTGGGTTTTATTATATGTACTTGGGCCTTTATAGTTCAGTCTAAGTTTTTTGGGTTTTTTTTTTTTTTTTTTTCGACTTCTTGCAAACATTTGGGGTAAGGTCTAGCTTAGTGGTTTTGCCAACAATAAAATATCCTCTTGCCATCTTTTAAATCTTACCTCATGCAAAAGATTTTGAAAACAAAACTGTCACAGACATGCCCCCGATCTTGGAAACATGAACAGTGAATGCAGATAAATTTCTAAATTAAAAGTTATAGCCCAGGATGAAGGCTTAACCAAAATTCTCTAGCTGTAAATAAACAAGGATTTAAGGCTGTTGTTACCCGCCCTCCATACCCCCTTGGCATAATTGATCTAGGACAACAAAACAGACATTGAGCATAAAGATGTAATAGGAGGGCTCCAACTGGCTGTGGTACAAGGTAAAAGGGTGTAACTTTATCCTCATTTCACTTTCACCCCTTTGCTTCAGTTACATCCTCATATTAGGGTCACTTTGACCAGACCTTTGCTTGGTCA